GTGTGAGAGTGTGTGAGTGAGTGTGTGTGTGTGCGCGTGCGTGTGTGTGTGCGCATGCGCGTGCGTGTGTGTGTGTGTGTGTGTGTGTGTGTACTTGTTTATGCTACATTGTTGGGGCCAAATGTCCCCACAAGGATAGTAAAACCTGAAATTTTTGACATTTTGGCTTGCAGTCCCCACGAGGGGAAAAATTATTAAAAAATAGTAAATTATATTTATTTGAAAGTGTAACAATAAACAGGTTTTCTGTTAGGGTTAGGGGATAGAAAATATCGTTTGCTCAGTATAAAAGTAATAGAAGTCTATGGAAAGTTCCCACAATTCACAGAAACAAACGTGTGTGTGTGTGTGTGTGTGTGTGTGTGTGTGCGCGCGCGTGCACAGTATCAGTCATTTCCACAGTGTAAGAATGGCTTTAGGGTTGGCATGAGACTGGAGGGTATCGACTCTGAACACCCTTCCATGTACTGCGTCCTTACCATCGCTGAGGTAACAACCAAAACTCTAATATTGTCTAAAAATGAGCTGTAATATGATATTTTACTGTTATGTTACTTTACATGATCACTTTTATCCATCTTGTGGCTCACTCGCGCATATTTGCAGGTGTTAGGACATCGAATCAGACTGCATTTTGATAAGTATTCAGACTGCTATGACTTCTGGGTAAATTCCAGCTCTCCTGACATTCACCCAGTGGGATGGTGTGAGAAAACCGGACACAAGTTGCATCCACCGAAAGGTAAGAGACACCAGCCATTCACAGAACACCCAGAATTCAATTCAAGCAGCTTTGGTTGTAAAATTATACTTTTGTTTTCACTTTCATGACTAATGTGTAGCAGTATGTGCTACTGTTCCTCACATGGCCCGTGTGGTTTTTGTGTTTGTGTAGGGATGAAGGATGAAGAGTTCAGCTGGTCCTCCTACTTCAAACTAAATAAAATACAGACCGCACCCAAAGCCCTGTTTCAGAATCAGAACATGGTGAGAGAGAGCATCACATGACCCCAGATGAAGCCATAGGAAATGTGTCCCATTTTCCCCTAGATGGCACTGTTTCACTTCAAGCAATGAAGCATTTAAACAAGACCAAGTTAAGACAAGGACATCCACAGCACATTTAACCTATGTTTAAACACTTCACGGTAGTAGGACGTAGATACAGGTTCAAGTGAAACAGAAAATGTATTTAAAACTAGCTTTGATTTTAGCATCAGGATTTTATTGAATCATGAATTGCTAAGATATCATTGGTTGATACAGTAATTCAGGAGCAAGTTATTCCGACTGAATGGATAAGCTGTGTTTTTCAGACCGTGACGCCGTCAGGGTTTAGGGTCGGTATGAAGCTGGAGGCCATCGATAAGAAGAATCCCTCGTTCATCTGTGTCGCCACGATTACAGACATGGTGGAGAGTCGATTCCTGGTGCACTTTGACAACTGGGATGAAAGTTATGACTACTGGTAAATTCCCATCTTTGAATTCATGTCTTTATGCTATGCTCCTGCTGCGACTTTCCCTGAAAGAGAACAACTGTATTTATCTATGGACAGGACATCATTTTACAAAGACTTTCTATACGTTTTTTTTATTTTTTATCAATACATGCAGTAACTTTGTTAAGCCAAATGCACCAAAACTTGTAAGAAAGTGTTAAGTATGAAAAGTGATTTTTACTCACTAATTCTAAAGCACAACATTATTTCAACCCTGATGGTTTGATGGTCATATCATTGAAATTCTGTTAATATCACTCAGTTTTATTCTTAATTTCACCACATTATCACTACACATTTATAAATATTATTATTATTATAATTATTATAAAATAATTATTTACAATTATATTTCTTACTTGTCTTTAAAAAACTAATCACTAATATAAAGTTCACTTTTGAACTAATATAAGGGTGAACATATACATATACATATTCATGAATAATACAATACTGAAAAAGTATAGAGGAACTCACATCTGTGAACAACATGAAATCATATATTTTTTTAAAGTTATAATTATGGGCTTTTTATGCCTTTATTGTGAGAGGATAGTCGGCGCCGACATGAAATCAATATTTTAATTTGAATCAATGCATCATTTTTTTGTTCTATTTAACTCCTGCAAACATACAAATTGGCTGAAATGCTGATGAAATTGATGAAACTGAACAGGCTTAAATCTATCAAATGACTAAGTTGAGTATCTTGTTAATTATATCAGTCGTAATAAGTCATGAAGACACAAATGTGGCAAATTCTCATTCTTATGAGTGACCCAGTTATCATTCTGTGCTCATCATCCATTCTCTGCTGAGTGTGTGTGTGTGTCGTGTGTGTGTGTGTGTGTGTGGG